GGAGGGGCTGAGGGTATAGAATCTGCCAAACTCAAACCGATTGTAGACCTTTTCCTCATTGAACTTATCCAAATGAACGAAATTGAAAACGCGCTCATTCGTGTAGAGAAGGATAAACGCATGGAAAAGTCAAGTTTCACAGTTGCCAAAGTCCAGGGTACGGATGTTCGACGTTCCTCAAGGTATCATGAATGCCTCCATAAACTCAATACTTTGGAAAGAAACAAGGAGGAACCAGGAGAATCTGCGGCTAGAAGTGTCTTGGAAGACTTTGTTCAAAATATCAACATCCATGGATTGGACTCGATAATGGGATCGGAAAGCTGGTCTGTAACTCATATACGTACCGTTCCAACGTTAGATGAGCCTTCCGAGGAGATTACAGTCGTCGAGGCCGTTGCTTCAGGTACACCTAACAATGGAGGCAGCTCATTTTCACCTCGTCCTACTTCGCCGCTGTTAATTCCAGATATTTCAGAGCCAAAGACAGAGACAGCGTCAAGGAAGAAGAAGAAGAAGACAAAGGGTAAAAATAACGCAAAGAAGGTTTTGAAGCAGGAAAGCGAACCTGAGTCTGCAGTGGCGGAGACTAAAAGTCAAACTTCTGAGATCATTAGCCAGGCAACTCCTTCCATTGCATCTGACCCATTGAATTACCATTTCGACGATGCCACGAATCCATTAATAGAGGATGACTCGGATTGGAAGATCGTGAAACCCAAACCTAGTAAGCAAAAGGGCCCACAAGCTACTCAACAGACTCGTGTAGCACATTCTTCCAAAGCTCACAAAGATACCTCCGCTACTGCCAAAGTCCCACCCAGTTGTAAAGTTGGTCGAAAGAAAGTAGACGTACCCACAAAGATACCAACTCAGACTACAGCCGCTACTTCAAAGAGGGGCGAGAAGTTTGAGATCGAGAGTTTAAAAGACTTTCCAGAAATGGTCTCACCTTCAAAGAATGACACACAACAAATCCTTGAAGCTACCAAAAAGAAGTCTACGATCGTAATGGTACAGGAGGTCTTGCCACAGGTAAACTCACAAATTCCGGCTAAAGGAGAGTCTGAAATCCTACCAGAAGAACCTCTTCTACCAAGCTCAGACCTTGATACCGGAGCTATTATTGAGGCTGACATTTATCACGGCCAATCAAAGGTTTCAATTCAACCGGCAGCAGTCATATTATCACCCGTACCTTCGAGAGAACAAGCCAATCTCTCTAACGAAGATTCGGCTGAAGATGTCTTTAAACTCGCTAAAATCGGGGCTTCTCCAGACGTTGAACCCACTCGGACCTTAATCGATGAAATTAAGGCAAGAACATCCATCAACTATGGTGCCATGAAGGAGGGCTCTATTAGTACAATTGGTACCGAGCCCAAAGTCGAAGACACCACTACAATTTTGTCTGGAAAATCATCACCTCGTTGTCAAACACCTCCTGCGCGTACTTTGAGTCGTGATGCACCAATTTATCTAGGAAATTTTGATGATCCCGACCAGAAAGTCGAAAAACGATTCCGAAGTTATTCAGCTAACGCCACGATGACCGCAGGCCCCTTTATTTTTGACGATGATGAGGAAAGCCCTGATCCTACTGTCGATCTCGAAAGACCTGCATCCGTTTCTGAGATCATGATCACGAAATCTATAGTGAATAGCTCTCCTAGAGTCTCCAATTCAAAAATCTATCCACGAGTCCTGCCACTAGCAGCATCACTGGTTTCTGCTGTTGGTAAAATCAGATCAGTCCACGATCTTTGTGCTGTTGACAATGCTCCTACAATCGCTACCTCACCTCTCGCTGATAGTGCATCTGTAAATAATATTGTCGATAACGCATCTGAAGCTGCAGAACCATTCATCTCAGAGGCTTGTACTGGCAATGAAGACGCCGCGCTATCTACGGAAACCACTTCGATACCTGTCTGTGAGCCTGTTGCAATTACTAGCTCTACATTGACTATTCATGGGCCGCAACCTCGGAGCTTTCGCCCATCTCTGATGGATTTGGACACCCTACACTTGAGTCCTACAGAAACTGCCACTCTAGGAAGTCAAACAACTGCTCGGCAAGCAAGTGTAGCAAGTTGTGATACTTCAGGACAAAAATTATCCGAATTTTCAAATGGTTGGAGTCGACAACAACTATCAAGCAGTGCCATCATTAATTCAGGTCCACGTACACATACGGAACCAGATACAGCTCGAATACCCTTCGACTGTACTTATTGCAGGGGTCATCATCACGCTACAATAGACAGCCCTATGGTCCTATGTCATGGCTGTGGTCCCAATGGTGGTATCAAATATTGTTCGATCGCATGTCTTCTAGCAGAAAGCCTTGCTCATGCCAATGTCTGCCAAGAGAGTGTGGATGACTCCGAGACATTTACAATTAGTCGTCCAACTGCACATCAAATATATTACACTGGTATTCTCGCGGCTCCTCTTACGTTTGGAACTACATTTCAGAAGTCAATCTACGCCTACCGTCAAAAGGTTTTCGCAATGTACTGTCGTAGCGGACCATTTCCAAAAATTCATAAAGCATGGGCTCGACAAAACAACACTTTACCAACTGTTCCGGAACAAGATGCAGTTGAGGCCACGAAGAAGACCGGTAGTTACTTTGTATTCAAATCTGCTTTGACAAGTAATAGCAATCATATGAACCTGGACAGCACAGTCATCTGTACAATCAAATTTCGTCCTAACGATCGCATGCTGCAAGCGGTCGATCGATGTCTTGAATCTTGCTTTAGATTGAGTCACGGCCACGACTACACTGTCAAAGAATTCTTGTATAGACTCATCAAGGATCTACTTTCTGACGATGAATCCTTTGATTGCTTTCCACACACAGAAGATCGATTGACTGTATTTCATGAATTCCAAAATCAATATGATCTAGAATTCGATTTTGACGCTGATATGCAGAGTGCACGATCTGACAAATTTGACTTCGAGTCGGAGTGGTCTCTCATTGAACATCTTTTGAGTCGATCAGAGTCTGAGGAATTGGTCTAGATATCGGATGCTAAGACGTTGGATATCTTGAAAAGCATGTTGGTTGTTGGACATTCTATTCAATGACATCGTGAGATATAGTACAAAATCTTGCCTACTCATCTTGCTACACGCCCTTCACCGTCACAACATCAGTATTTCAGTCGCGATCAGACATATTTTCGTTTCAATTTGGGAGGGAGAGGAGAGATTCATACACCGGAGGTAAATTTGTGATCTTCACACAGCGCATATGTCTGCAAACTTTATGCGACGAAAATTTGCTTTCCAGGAGAAAATCATGATGGAAGCAAGCATGGTGAATTCGTGAGTTTTAAATTCATACTCGCCACATAAAAGGTCACACACATTAGGGAGAGTTTATGTCTTCAATGGCTATGAGTGATACTTGGGTGGTGTGAATACGATACAGCGGGAAATAAAAAGAGATTGAATTCGCATTGCATCTTCATGATCACCGATGGCGTAGCTTCGGCTTTCGTCTGTAGTGAACTCATAAGGCCGGTGGAAGTGCTTCTTGGGAAGTTACTTTCTATCTGCGCGGTGGAACTCATTATAGTAGATAGGAGAATTCATATTTTTCTATTAACCTTTTGCTCTTGGTGACCTGGATGATTGTGAGTGTATAGGTAAGGAAAGAGACATAAAAAATCGGATGACTTAAATGAGCAGCTATGAACTACAACCCTTGCACGCCTGGCAAGTTTCTGAACTACGATTTCCGGTATAGTTCATATGGTTGTGTAGGCATTAACATTCTATGCTTAAATTGTTATTGTCGGTTTTGTTCGAACATCATTTGTAGCATCTAACATTAACGAGTGTTCTACAGCAGGACACATTTCTACATACCTAGGCAGTGGTTCCGTTATTTCGCACTCTTTTTTTGAATGAATGACGGATGACAATAATGTATACTGTATTGGCTATATATTTTAACATGACATAGGAAACATCATTGATTACCTAGTTGACTTGAATTCTCGCACCTTCTTTAGCCAAATGCCGTGATATGGAGGATGTTAGAAACCAAGGCTGTAGAATTTTGATTTTTGAATGGGTAGGTAGCAATTATATGGTAGGGGTTGTGGAGGATAAAGGAGCAGATGATGTTGCGAAAGTTCTGGAAGGTTAGTTGATGGGGATAAGGGATGAGGAATCTTATGCATGGGTTGAAACTTTGGGTGGGTTTGCGCTTATGAGAATTGGGGGTATGAGAATTGGGGGTTTGAGAATTATGGCTCAAAGAGAGAAGAGGTGGGTATGCAGGTATGCGGACTATTCATCGTGTGGAAGAAGGAAAAGTGCCTGCCCGAATGAGATATTCCTCTAGTGGGTTTCAAAGTTCTCGTCATAATGAATCGCTTTCAGTACAGTCACTCAAACGTAAAGTCAAATGCTTTAAACGCGCATACTTCAAGTAACATGTTAAAATTTGATTTCCTTGAATCTTCCATCTCTAGGAATCTTTTTGATATGACTAACGCAGATTCTGTTCTATCCATCCCACGCTATGAACCAAGCGAGGTTGAGCACAAAAGCCGCACCGTATGCTACTTATCTTGTCTATCCTGCCCGGAAATCCATCGAGTGTAGAAATCAGAGGAAAGTAAGACCAGCTGTCCGAAATGTAACCCAAAGATCGCACAAAAAGAAAACAGATATCCATCCACCCAAATTTCTCTCTGGCATCCGTGGAAGTAAGCTGAGAGCGAGATGGGGGTTTCAAAGTTTGAAAATCGAATGCGCCCAACGCCGGGGGTATATCGCTTAAAAATACATGTCGCAGGTGTGAAAGAGGAGTCGTGGCGGTGATATGATGTGTATGAAAGACCAGATAGGCTGACGGGATGGGACGACTGAGGAAGTAAGCAAAACTTGGCCAAAAGAGTCGTAGTTGAAAAAGCCTGGCCGTGCTTGGAAGTTGATCAGATCCAGTCATCTGCCATCGACGTTCTCGGGTTCCTTTACTGTTGCGAAGGCACACCGCTGATACCATCAGAACTTTCGACTCCATGGGCATTAAGAGCATCAGGTTTGGCTTTCTTGTGTTCAAGCTCCATTTCTGCCACAGGATTATTATTAGCTCTCTTCTTGCAAAACTCAAACACGGAGCCATCACTGCTAGAGATAAGATCTGAGGTAGCCTCGCAACTACCAGCTACGAAAGTGTGAGAGGAACTAAATGGGACCCCAGACAACCACTCGACTGAGTAGTTGTGTTAGGGTTGACCTGGTGAATATAGAAGAGAGACAAACAGAGCTAAGAAAGATTGTAACTAGAGATACAAATTGCGATACTAATCAAACGAGAAAACTTACGAGTATCTGGTTGGCTAGAAGAAGGGACAAGAGGAGTGGCTGTAAAGCTAGCAGTTTTCTGTTGCCAAGGGTGTGCTCCCATTGTCTGCGCAGCTGAAGTTGGTGGAGTTCCGTAATTCGAAGTATACCCGTCACCTACCCAGCCAGCGACGACATTTGGTGGAGGTGGGGCCATGCTGGAGACACGAGGAGGGAATACAGGTTTGGCTGATCCACTAGAGGATGAGGTAACGTTCTTAGCAGCATGCTCATCTGCTTGGCCTTGGCTGTTAGTATTTGCTTGCTCAATTGGAGTCAGAAGGTTGCGAATACCAAACGGTCCAGTATACGATGTGATAGGTGTATCCCGGGCTGGAACAGTCTGCTCTTCATCAGATTGAAGAGTATCAGGGGAGGCGACCATATCTGCAGTGGAACTCGAACCCAAAATTGACGCTGCCAGGTCCATGAGTGTCACAGCAGAATCGGGTGGTGTTGGGGAGCGTGCTGGAGAGATTGCTGGAGAAAGCATTGGCGAGTTTCTCAAACTTTCGGTTGTGATTGTCAAAGTCGGTGTGGCGAGGTTGGTCTTGCGCTCAGAAGTACGACGCTTCAAAAAGCTAATGGAATCACGTCTGATGGACTTGTGCTCCTCTTGGATGATTTTGTTCTCCTCTTGCTCTACCAATTTACGAATTTCAATTTCCGCGGGACTAATTGAAGGGGTTAGCCATGCTTGATAACCGAGTGTTTGTAAGAACGCCGGTAAGAGTAGCTATCGAAGAGACAGAGGTATTGGGGACACATCATGGGGGCATCGTCCAGAACAAAATATTTATGCAGTATGAAGAAAAAAGCTGCTCTGCGAATACATGAAATGCTTTAATAGGAGAAGATGCGCCAAACGACGGAACGGAAAACGATCTCGTAGCCGCCCGCAGTAAAACAGATTGAAGTACATATGTATTCATGCTCCAATGATTGGCGAGGAAAACATGACGACTGAAATGAGTGAAGGGATAAAACTGCAGAAACTTCAAGACTTACTCGGGAAATTTAGGTACAGGACCAAGGTTTTGAAGGTGATTCTTTGCTTCTTCAAGGGAAGTTATACCAACTTTCTGAGAAAATGCGTCGAATTCCTGGCTCATCTTACGTAGAGGGAGAGTCTTATCGGTCTGTGTTCGAATGGATGATTGACGCTTGAAGAGAAGTCAGTAATAGGTCATTTAGGATGAACAAAATGGCCGCGGTTTGGATTAGTGCCACTGCTCAGAATTTCAAGGTGTGAAGTCTGAGAACACAAAATTGAATTCAAATCAGAATATAGGTCTGGAAGATGGGAAGAAAATGAGATTGAGAGAGAAAAATACTTGCAGTCAATCTACCAATAGAATCATCTTTTGGAGAATTGGGAGAGGTTGTGTTTGTAGGAGTACTAGTCTGGCTGCCACCTATCAAAGAACAAAAGATCAGCAAAAATCCAAAAGATTCCACAGGAATCAATCCACATGGAATAGTAAGGAGCTTGAGAGTCTGGCTTATTATCAGTGCCGACTTGATGTTGTTTCATTAGGTTCTTGTCCCGAGATTGATACTTGGTCAGATCCTCGAGCATCTCTATGCCCCACGTGGAAAGACAGCTGAATTCTCCTGTATTGATCACATACATGGTGGCTTATCTTCTTTCGACTCCATCTCTGTTTTCTTTGCAGGAAAAAGTTTACAGGGAAACCAAGAAATGTTGGTACGAAGTAGAGAAGAGAGATTTCTCGATGATAAACACCCTCTAGAGAACTGATGTTGGTCTGGGTTGGAAGATTGTTCTTTTAAAAGAGATTTACAAATTTACCAAATTAAGTTTTGTATTTGAAGATTGGGTAACCGAGAGAGTGAATAGAAGTCGGGTGGATACTTGGTATTCAATTCGTAATTTGTACCTAATTTCTACCTACCTAGGTAGGTAGGCAGTATGATTAAAAATTAAAATGTAGCAGTGACTTCCAATGTTGAAACAATTGTCGCCGATAACGGCCTTCTATTGTGTTGGAAATCTCTCGGTAATTTAAAGGAGAAGTGTTGAAGGTGAAAGTGAAGGTCCAGATCAAGTGAAAGTTGATACTGGACGTAGTTGTAGTTGTGGATGTGGACATCTAGATAATGAGTGCTGTCTGTTTGTTTGTATATGCTTTCAAAACAATGGCAATCTCTTATTTCAAAGAATGCAATGATATTCACAGCTGCTGGTGGGAAACACAAAAGTAATTAGATGACAATCCGCTTGTGAAAGTTGTGTGAAGTTTTCATATGTTGCCTGATGAACGGTGGCATATGGAATTCATCTGCAGATAGGGATCCTGATGATATCATCTTGTCACAGATCTAAACTCTACAGTCTTTAGCATCACCTTTTAGATCAGATACTTACTAGATTCAGGAGTTCCTGTGTATATTTGAAATCCCCTACTTTGACAATGCTTTAACCTCAAACCCCTTAAAGCCTAGAGCACGTGATAACAAGAATTGGAGAAGTTAACCAGATCATGATTGTATTCCAAAGAGGACATTCAAAAGTATCTGGATAGAAAGCATTATGAAGACAAAAAAATAGACTTTGCTGTCTGCAGAGAACTGCATAGACCTCTGGGAGATATTTTCTTCCTTCCCTATATGGCACATCTTGAGAGCATATTAACTCATATGAACTCCATATGCCTACCTATATGGCTCTCCATTTCAACCATTCTAATGCAGCAGGCCGGTCAAGAAAGGAATGTACACCCATTCTATGCATCCTAATCACCCAGCATCTTGTAATCATTTTAAATGTTTGGATGCATACATGGAACATATGCCATATTTCCATATTTCTTGGAGTATTTTGACTTTGCTTTCATGTTTGTCTCCGATTGATTTGGATTTGATTGTTGTTGACTGACTTCCGCTCCACAAATGGAGCAAGGCGACTCAAATGTCGTCAGATGATGATCGCTTACTGCCAACCTAGACCGCCCAAAACCACACTAAAAATTTCCATCCCGATGTCTCCCATCAATCAAAAAATTTGGTGCTCACTTACTGGATTCGCCTCCATATTACACCTCACAACGACGACACAATGAACTCAAGAACATTACTCCGTCAATCATCTCGAGCTTTGAGCTCTTCTCTTCGCAGCTCAGCCGCAAGACAACCTTTGCGTTCTCAATTCCACAATAATACTTCGCTGGCCGCGCAAGTTGCGTCGAGGCAATTTCAAGGAAGGAGATTCTATGCTACGGAACCAGAGGCTAAGAAGGATGAGCCAGCAGCAGAGAAGAAGGATGCTGAAGTAGAAGACCCATCGAAGAAGGCTTTGGAGGCAAAGGATAAGGAGATTCTTGAATTAAAGGTTTGTATTTCCAATCTAATATTATCGATCTGCTTCCTTACTGCTGCTTTACACCCATTATGCCGAATACTGCGCCACTTATACTTATGGAATCTGAGCTTGCGAATCTCATCCGGTGGCAAAGGAATTGCAAATACCAGTTCAAGAGCATTTGGCTAACCCCACATCACAGGACAAGCTCCTGCGCTCCATCGCCGAATTCCGCAACCTCCAAGAGCGCACAAAACGAGATATGCAAGCTGCAAAGGACTTTGCCATTCAAAAGTTTGCCAAAGATCTTGTTGACAGTGTTGACAACTTTGACCGAGCTCTTACCACTGTTCCCGCAGAGAAGCTCTCCGTTTCTGCCGAAGAACGCAATGAGCACCAACAAGACTTGATCACATTACACGAGGGATTGAAGATGACCGAGAACATCCTCATGTCAACATTGAAGAAGCATGGTTTGGAAAGATTCGACCCTTCAGTCGAGTCCGAGAAATTTAACCCAAATGAACACGAGGCTACTTTCATGACTCCTATGGCAGGAAAGGAGGATGGCACAGTTTTCCACACCCAACAGAAGGGATTTAAGCTCAACGGAAGAATCTTGAGAGCTGCCAAGGTCGGGGTTGTCAAGAACCCTTGAATACTGTAAACCAAGTTTTACATTTTGCGGAACGCAAACCTAGCATTGCTCGGCGCATAGAGTAATGAAGATGTTTACTCCGTATATATATCGGGGTAATGAACGGAAAATCCAGCGGAGGAATTACGATGTACAAAGTGTATAAATAAAAATGGGACTACGGTTATGTCTACTTGAGCATCCGACTCGAGCAGACACAAAATTACGGCGTTGGAATGCATAATGACTGTAAGCTGTATTACGAAAGAATCAGCTCACTCCTCTCTACAAAGATATGACAGGTTTTGGGGTAAATATTATGGGCTGGCCTGGCTTTTGCGGGATCTATCTGCATCATCTTGTATATGTCACTCACGATTTTCTTTTCTTTTTCGCATATAAGAAAAGAATAAATATACCTAATGAAACCATGCAAGATTGTTTTCCAAGTCGATATGAATGTTTCCCAACAACTCCCATTCCTTTTTTCGCACAGTATAAAACCTGTCCTGTTCTCATAACATCGGAATAAGAAGTGGTTTTCCAGTCGTATTGTACAATGGTAAAGACACTTTAGAGAGCCATTCTCACCTCATAGATTTTTCACTCTTCGCTCTCTTATTAGACGATACTATAATGAAACCATGAATCACACACACCACAGCTCTTGCACATTTTTCTTCTCCTCTCCCGTCCTGTTCTATAAACCTCCGTTCAGAACTCCCATTTCATCTTCATCCTCCCACCATCCATAACCTCGCCATGTCTATTCGTAATCCATACCTTTTCCTTCATACCACAAGATACATCGACTGCGCAAACTCTGCACCCCCAAGCAGCTTACAGTAGTACTCTTCGCTGTAGATACCGTTACATGTAACATCGAACAAGTATGGGGGACGCAAGTGCTATTGCCAAGAGGATCCACGTTCAAAACCACATTTTCAATGAGTATTTGGGACTTGAATGGAGGGGCGGTATCATGTAGATAAGTCTAGGTGTTGTGTTATAGCACTTTGAACAGATTCAAGAGGTATATTGATATATATATATATATATATTAAATAGCTTTGCAATCTTGAAGTCTTTGAAGATATTAGTTGGCTTGAGGATAGACTTTTATCTTTTTCAATCATGAAGAGCGTTTCTCTATAGTGAGAGAGTGAATCGTAATGTCGCCATACGAGTATCAAAGTATTAACCTAGAGACTTAGTTTTGCATGAGTCTAGATAAATGAATTGAGTCTAAACCAGTTTGTGGAAGAAAAGTCAACAAGCTAGGTGTACATGAAACCGAGAGTTCGAAAGTCAGGGAGGAAGTGAGGACCGGAAGAACTGCGGCATCATTAGCAGACCTCTCTGAAATTAACATCAGGTCTAAGATAGTTTGAGGAAAGATGTGAGCACACAATTTGATATCACTTTGTTAATCCATCAAATTTCCCAAGATAGCAGTATCATAAACACACAGAATCGGAAAGTGCGGGGCACATGCATGACAGCGGGGTACTTTCCGCCCCTCTCTCACTTCGCTTCAATCCTGATTTCTACCCCTCTATCAAAATCTAACTCCAAAAATGGCACCTTTAACTCGAGCGTCTGTAGCCCTGATAACAGCTTCTTCAGCCGGGCTCGGCGCTGCCACCGCTCGACTATTTGCATCACACGGTGTCCGTGTCATCATCAATTACCATTCCAGCCATGACAAAGCGCAAGATCTTGTTGGCGAACTGGGAGATCTTGCCCGTAGAAAACTACCAGATATGGAAGAGCAAGATGTAGTTACAGCTGTAAAGGCTGATATGTCCAAGAAAGATGAGGTGGAGAGATTGGTCAAGGAGAGCGTGGAGAAGTGGGGACGATTAGATGTTGGTGTGTTTATATCTCAAACTTCCCGATTTCTCGATCGATTTGTATTTTGAACTTGGAAATCAAGAGGACTAATCTAATAGAACAGTTGTTTCCAACCATGGCTGGACTCAGATTCGCAATTTTCAAGACCTAGACGACAATATTGTTGAAGAAGATTGGGATCGGTGTTTCAACATGAATGTGAAGTCTCATTTATGGCTTTTCCATGCTGTGAAGCCATACCTAGAAGAGACCGATGGAAGTTTCATATCGACAGCTAGTATCGCGTTAGTGTTCTATTCTTCTTCTATTGATAGCTTCGTGATCCGAATCTGCGATATCAACAAGGGCTAATCAGATTTCATTAGGGGTGTGAAACCGGGTGGGAGTTCCATGGTATGTTCATAACCCAAGGATCTGATAAACGTGAGTAAGGCAAGAGCGCTGACGAGTGCCAATTCAGGCATATTCTGTGACGAAAGCTGCACAGATACATCTCATCAAGTCATTAGCTCTCACGTCAACAATACGGGTGAACTCCGTTTCACCGGGATTGATGCTCACTGCAAGTTCAATATTCATTGCCTCCGTCCTCAACTATAATGCATGACATCAAGCTAACCCACATCACCACAGGACTGGGGTCTCCAATTTCCCGAGTCAAAAGTAGAGGGAGTAAAGAAAAAGAGCACACTAGGAAGACTCGCGACCGTCGAAGAGGTTGCTAGACAGATATACTGTTTAGCCGAGAGCGAGAGTGCCACTGGTACAAATTCTATCATTGATGGAGGAATCCATTTGGGGAAATAGATGTTTTTAAAAAGAAACAGAGGGGAATTACTCAAGAAAACCCCCAGACATGAGCTTTCATTTAACAGGTTTCAATGACCATCTGTCGATTTGCAAATGCATAGATTCCCAAGCTTTCCAACTCCTACAACCAAACCAATATCACGCCCATCGACAGTGCCAGGCATTGATATTAAGAAAGTAGTTTAATTCAAATAAGCAAATGACACACTGAGTAAGAGACCCAACCAAATCTTCTCTGAAACTCAATTTCATTCCGTAAGAGACAAGGGGGAAGGCAAACCGGAGGTTTCTTCGGATGTGAATTGCTTTAAAAGGCTTTCAGATATGCAAGAATAGACTTAGTGTAATATTAGAGCTGTTGGAAAGCCCTTTCTTTATGATTTGCAAATATCAGTCTTCAAATATATAATTATGGATGTAAAACGAAGTGATCTCCTAGCTTGTGATGGAAGATAATAGTGATTGAATTAGTACGTGTTCAGGTCATAACACAAAAGCTGACAGTGCTAAGAGTAAAATAAATTGACAAAAGTATGTGCAATGCTCTTTGAGCTCCGGAACGCATTTGGGAAAAGCTTGCATAACGAACCCCCAGTGCAGTCTGAGGTTCAGTTTAGGAAGCCACTAAGCCTTACAGGATGTATTTAAATGAACATTACACTTTCAAGCCAGCGTGATAACGAGTCATAAACGAAGCATTTTTAAGATAGATGAATCGCCTAACCAAAACTTATTTTCTGTCTTGTCAGATCCCTAAACACGTCATCGAGAACGTTTCTCTTCCTCTTCCCCCCTTCATCCTCATCATGAGTCTTGCCTTCCTCCTCTTCCTCACGATCCATTTGAATATCTTCTTCAGTTCTAGGTATCCAAGCTCTGATCTGTCCATCCGAATGAGCGGAATATATACCATCAACCGGTTCTCTCCACGCCAGTGCTGTGATACGGTTCCGGATATTTCGCTCACCGGTTCGAGATCGCACTGCTGCAACAGTGGGACCAGGAACTTTCAGTCGCTTGAGAAGACGACCTTCATGAAGTTCAAAAACAAGAATTTCTTTTTCATTGGGGAAGAATAGAAGTTCTTTCATCGGGGGTGTTAGTGCTGTGGGTGACACTACTATAGGTAGACTTGAGAGATGTCCATTCTTGATTGTTGGGCCAAAGCTTGCGAGAGTATTTGCACCTGTAGCTGCATCCCAGACTCGAATTCGTTCATCGTGTGCTGCAGATATGATATAGTTCCCATTATCCGTCCACGTAAGACCATTGACAGCTCCGGTATGGGCCTTGGCAGAAGCTCTTGATCGACCACCCGCCATCCCATGTGTAGTTGTCATCCCAATTGCATCTTCCAAATCCAATAAGCCCACTGCGCCAGAACTCTTTCGAACATCCCAGACACGAATCGTACCATCTACACACCCACTGGCTAGTATATGCTCAACGTTTGGATGCCAAGCGACTGAGAGGATAGCTCCATGATGTCCGGCTAATGAATGTGTACTTGCGCCGGACCGAAGGTCTATGAGCCTGACAGCTGGATGTTGAGTCGCGCAGGCCACCAAAAGATGTTGTGCGATGGGAGATACGGCATGTGAATAGACTACAGAGTCTAGATCGAAGTCTGCGGATAATTGGAGAGTCTCCGTGGAGTATAGTTTGAGATGATGATCGTACGACGAAGAGAGAAACGCAGCAGAATCGAAAGGATAGAAACTAAGATGTGTAATGCCATATTGATGCGCGGAAGCAGTCCTGCAGACCCGAGTTAGTGGATGCTTCCCAACTGTTAGGCACAATGATAGAAATCTGTAAAATACCTGGGGACCATTCCGGTTGGTCGGAATGTATATTCTGATGCCCCGGTGGGGATTTGATCAAGATCCCAAACTTTGATCGATGCATCTGCACCACCAGAAAGGAGACTATATATCTTCACGTCAGTCCAGAAGTTTCAATAAGTATCATTATTCATTTCACTCTTACATCTTTCCATCAAATCTATCTATTGACAAGGCGTTTACTCCAGTTTGGTGCGCCCATATCTTCGCTGGCTCGTAATCCCGAGCTCCCGTACCTGAAGCTACAGTCGTCGGAGGCTTTTCACCACCATTGAATCGTACCTTTGGAGCTGGTAAAATCGCATGGATTAATTGGGTAGTCTGAATGCGAGCAAAGGCATTTGGGCCAAGATTGCCCGTTGATCGATCAAAGATCAATTGATTCATACATTTGATGTACGATAGAATCTTGTATTCGAAAAGAATAAATTGGGGGACATAGGTAGGTGGTGATGATATACCTCAATGTCAATACCTACTACGTGTATGATGCACTGAGAAGTGTTGCTTATGTAGGAGTAAAATCTGAAAGGATTGCGACGCGACGGTCCAAATTACGCGGGGTCGTTTCATCATCGTCATACCATACCCAGCTAAATTTCTAGAGCGCTCTAGCTAGACTCAGCTCTCACAATTCTTATTCATTTTTTACATTCTAGACATCAACATTTGAAAATCAAAGGACACGATGACTTCAAAAGCATTTTCACAGAATACTTTCATCAATCCAAATGTTGAAGAAAAATCAATAGAGGGGGACAAGGTTTCACGAACAAGAAAACCATCTGTTTACGACGCTGTTGCAGGTAACGTTCCAAACACGACATCGATCGGAGATAAAGTTACGTACTGACGTATGGCTCAGGTCGGATTTCCGCAGCAGGTTTCATTCCTAGGAGTGTGGTTGTCTCCTCAACGCGGGATACTACATCGTCCTCTTTAAGCGCTGTGCCTCCCGAAGCTGTGTTGTTTCGGAGCAAAAATGCGCCCACCAGGTATGCCGAATCGGACATCTATTTTGCAAATGAGCGAGAGTCTCCAAAGGGGTTGCCAGACTCCGATCTGTTAAAATCACTTCACACCTATGCTTCAGATTTCTATTCGCGTGCAACTGCAGATGGAGGGTCTATAGATTGGCGCAGCATGGACGAGACGGCTTTGATAGGACTGGGTATTTTGATGGAAGAAGCATCTCGAGAGATCCTAGGAGAAACAGGTGACCTGACTTTTACGGAGGGAGAGGAATTCAATATCAATATTCTTGGACGCGGTCGACGCTCTCGAACAGGCAGCATTGTCAGCTCGCCCCTAGAAGCTAAAAGGCCCGCTAAGAGAAGACGCGTCCATGATGATCATGTCAATGGATCGGGTTGAAATAAAGCATACGTAGATATTAGACAGCCACGACACAGAGCGTTAGACTACGATCTCGGGCGATTTGGGGTTGCGGTCACACTGGATTTAGACGAGCTATTTTGGACCACAGCCAACACTCAAGGGGGGTTCAACATGATTAACGGAAGAAGAAAATTTGACCAGTCAGGATATCAGAACGGCGAACGGGCTCGTTATCAGACTGCTTTTTACCAGCCCAATTTTACAAGTATGGAGCTATACGAGTAGGATTGAGATAAACTAGAAGGGTCGGTGGCGTGATGGGTTTTCATTTAATCGAGTTAGCCCCTTCACGGTTAAGGGACGAGCCGGATACGACAACATCTACATCGGTATCTTCGGCAACCAATGCGGATGGTGTCTCGCCGTAGCTTTCCGATTTATTGGGACGTTCAAAGCTGATGGTGTACACCGAAACAAACTTGTGCGACCTGGGTCAAATATCAAAATTGGCACTCACGTTCTCATTTGACGCTTCTGAGTAAGCTTGCATGCTTCGTGTTACACCGACATTTGGGCTGACTCTGATAGCTCAGGATAGCTAAACGCTATATCTTGCTCACGAGAAATGAATGCAATTAATCCTTGAAAATTTTAACTCGGTTACCGGTAGAAAGCAATCTTCCATCAATGAGCTCTGTTAAACTAGGCGTGATTCCGTGAAAGATTTGAGCGACCGAGTTGAACAAGGCAAGGTAATTAGATGAAGGTTGCCTTTTGGTTGGGCGAAGGGTCCGAATATTCAAGTCGTCTCCGCTGACACGTGGAAAAAGGTCCGTACATTGTACAATAGTACAAGGTGGACCTGGTTAATCTTGGCCTTGACATTTCCCGTTTCACCAATCGTCTCTTTGTATTCTTGCCTCTGGACTCTGGAGGGGTTGAAAGTTCACCGTTTTCTTATCTATCAGTTCATGTATTCGGTACGTTGCAATTTGCCTCTTTCACGGAGGAATGTTTCGGACGTATGTAATTACTGTATACAGATAGATACTGGTCGTGTCATATAACTCAGATGTGATAGCATCAACCAACAGTTCGTCTATAAGGGCCAGGATTGTATATATCAAATATTCGTGTTCTCGTGAGACAAACGAAATGATGCAGATCTAGCTTGAGATTTTTGATGTCCAGACTCCAGAATCGCATTTTTGTTAACTTCGCTAACAGCATTGCAATCACTGCATACCATTCATGGTGATGCAAGTAACGAGTCAGAAAAAAGTTGAAGATTTGCGCACATTGCATATTAACCTCCGAAGACCCTCATTGGTCACATCGGAAGTTTATCATCTGCCATGGGAAAACGAGTACCGGTTCTGGAAGCAAATCACCACCCTCTGCAACCATGAGCGACATGATTCCCTCGTCGCACATTCCACCTAGCCAACATGCAAGCAACATCAACAACTCAGGGCACAAGTCACATTACATGGAACTTGGAAGCACCGCCTTTTCAATTCGTGTTTAGCCGTCTTATCATCTTCCTGTCGGCCATCGTAAGTCTCGCGCGCTATAACCTCAGCCTCCTAAATGATCAGTCGCATTTCCATCAGCACCATCGATCCTGTAGCTTGGAAGAAGCGGTGAGATTACATCTTTACGTACGGATAACACAGTCCGTTTGAACGCCAGGAACGTCAGATGGTCCGCATCCAGTCGTAACGATTGTCGCTGAGTCCCCGTAGTCTAAATCTATCTCTGACAAGAGTCATACTATGCAACAAATGATACGATGCGAGATAATATGCAAGTCGTGGGTTAGTACATTACCGGGTAAGAATGGCGAACGAGCTTAGATCGTGCCGGAATTTTGACAGGAAGCTTCGTGGAAAAAGTTTATTTGGCGTATCCTTGTTTGCCGCGGACTTTTCGGGCATCAGTCAATGGAGCCGTTGCATCGGATACTGGTTTTCGATGATTTGGTTCGCCTGCAAGGGATTTTCTATTATTGTTCATTAATCTTCCGTGTTTCTCGAATGCTAATCGCCGACAATGTACCATATATGCCCAACCCAACCTTTGTGTAACGATCGTCGCATCGCGGTCTCTATAGGTAGTGAGCACCAGAACTTTTGTGTAACCCTTCCGTGAATCTCAGTCCCAGATATTTCTAGACGCCGGTGCGGCATCGCGATTACATGTGGTCGACAGGCTTTGAAACTCGTGCCCGACTCCTTGGGGGAGCTTACGAAACATGATTGGGGCACATTTACCGTCTCTTTCATGCATTTCTTTCTTTCTCTTTCGATGATGCGCATTATTTTCTTTTGAATCTGTTCCATTATTATATCGAGTCTGAGACATTCGATGGCGCAAATTAGAATCGTCCTAGAGACTCCGAGTAGATTTTGTTTTTCCCCGTGCAATACTGACTCGAGTTGAACAATAGCCGAGCTATTCCTCCACTTGTGAACGGAAACCCTTCTGATTCTTGAGTAAGTAGAGCTAGAAGGAGGCTAGAAATCACAAGTAAACGTATCGTTCCGTGCCTCGCGCCCGTTCCGCCGAACGTGTACTTTTGTTTTTTTGTGTACCAGTACCTACTTATCGTCATGTTCTCGGGAAGTATTTTCAGGAACGACGCTGTGATTGGGGCAGAGCATGGAAGGAAAAGAAGCACTTTAAGGGCTCTACCCGAAAGCCGTTGGATCAGTTGCTAGAGTCCCCGCAGTTCTCCATGCTGATCTCAGTTATTACTTCCTGGGAGCCTGGGATCTCTTCGAGTCGGATGATTGATATTGTTTGTCCAAAATGATACTGCACGGGGAATGGGAGATATTGCAATCATATGATGGAGAAACAAATGAAATCATTTGTATTTAGAAAAGAAGGCAAGAGAGGCGAAAGAGATGAAAGAGGCAAATCATTGCGTGATGAGAGTTCTTGATTTTGATATGATCATCAATGTGGACATTTTTGTTACATTTCAATTATGTACTGAGTTTGTGACATTGTGAGCACGCTTTGACCCTTCCTTCCAGAAAGAAATCTCTTGTGAATTTGCTGCCTCCATTTTTTTCTTGTTTTACCAAGACACAGGAAGTCCGAGCCAAAGCAAGTTAGCAACGGGGCCAGGGAGATGAGGATACCCAGGCAACCAGGGCCTTTTTTGTGAAAATTCCTTCCTTCCAGAAAATGAAATGATTGCTCGATATCCACAGCTCATCTTCACGACCGAGGGTTCAGGGAGCATACTGGGGCACGGAGACATTACCGATTAATTTCCATGGGTTTTGATGAGGCGAAGGATTCTGATGCAGGACAATCGTGCGTAGAAGAATGGGTGCTGAAGAGTGGTGCCCTCCCATGTCCAAGGCATCGGTATGTACCATGACCAGGAGGCCTGTTGTTCATCGTAAGCTGGTGGGAATTGATGAGAAGTTCTGGGAATCTGTGAGAGTGATGAAATGGCGAAGAGCTTCCTTTCATGTTACGATTTGGATGCTGGGCATGTACGTACGTACTCCATGCTCCATAATGCACGTAGCTGGGAGGGTGGAATTTGTACTCTTACATATGCAGGCAACATTGAATACCTACCTATGTCATCACCAAAGTTACTGTTTTAGAATGTTGTAAGGAGCAGGTCATACGACATTCGAGGCTGACAACCTGACAAGCCCCCCAGCTTGGCTTTGGGAAATACACATGAAAGTGACTGACGCCCCCGCATCCTTCCCAGTAGAAAGCTTCGAATGAGGAGAATGTGCTTGTTCTGCACTGGATAAAGTCGCTAACATGCATTGGATGTGATTGTTCTACAGATAGGGCCAGACGAGACTGCCAATCCCTCCACATTTATCATTGGGCAGGTTGAGACTGAGACGACGTGCTACAGCTACATCCTCTGCTTACTGGCTCTCATCCCTGGGATGCGACATGCTGGTGTACACAGATCCGGACACAATTCTCAGGATGATGATAATGATGATGATGATGATGATGCTGTTATTGTTGTTGTTGGGATAGTGAGAACAGTGAGAACAGTTTACTGCGAGGAGCCTAGGCGTTGCGGGTGCGTCGGGTTGAAGTTTGATGTTGTGTATGTTTTGAAGAGAGAAGAGAGAAGAGATGCCATGTGGTGGGTGGTACGCTGGTCTGTAAAGTACTTTGACGTTGGTACCATATATACACACGGCTTGTATTTCTCATCGACAGTGACATGTTATATTTTCGCTCATCAAATCTCGTACGCAGAGTTTTACACATCGGAAATGGAAATGGATCGTCTCCTAGGCTGTCCCACTTGGGATGACATTCGATGGCTAGACCCTTTTATCTATCACTTCCTCGTCAATCCCTGATTCCCTTCGCCAGTCATGGACATCGTATAGACTTATTAGACTTAACTCAACAAAACAAAACAAATAATTACCCTACTGGGCAAAGCTTACATCAAGTAGAGGTCGCATTATTTGATGCCAGCAGTAGTGGGATGCTAAGGTGGCCGGGTGGCAGGTGCGAGCAAGCAATTGGCAGATGGCAGGCTACGTACAGCAATGAGCAAGCAGTTTGATATTGGAACCATTAATTGATTGAGCGACATCACGAATCACGATATCATTTTCCAATAGCATCAATTGATTGATGTCTTCATCCAGCCTCGCCCGCCGACCCAATACTACCTACCATTTCCCTCCCTCGTAGAATCAATCAACCGTAACCCGGCACCCCTCCTGCCCCTCGCACACCTTTCCCTCCTTTTCCTTCCAAGTTACCACGCCACGCCTCACTCCCCAAATCAAGCTCCAGCCGGCTCAGGTATTACATTCATCCTAGTCTCAACGCATTAAGCATACTCGCATTGCACAAACAGACTACCGATTATCCCACCTTACATTACACTTTCTTCCCCCTTGTCAATCTAAACTCTTTCCAACTTCACAATAACCTTACCTGCCCACAAAAGCATTATATCGCCTATTCTCGGGTGGTTGGCACCGGGTAACTGGGCACGAAAGCTTTCGTGAACACTGAATAGTGAACACTGCACCGACATTGCACACTCGAATCTTGAATCGCGAAAAGTGCGCTGCGACGCGGAAGAGAGACGGCGGAGAGACGAACCAAACAACGCAGGTCTTGGAAGGGTATACGACAGCAACCAACATCTAACAACCAGCATACTAGCATACCAGCATACCAGCATACCAGCATCCTGAGCCTTGCAACTCGATCGTATCTTCTTCATCTTCAACGGCTTTCGAATGCGCCGTATCAAGTAACACCGGCACAGGCACTATACATTTTGTTCCCTTCCACACATTCCAAGTCACGAAGACACGGGTTGGTACGTCAATTTTTTTGGGGATACCTACTTGCATGAACCTTCTTTTTACCCTTTGCCTTAATCTTCACCTATCAAGCTATCGCCTCTATCCTTATCGTGCTCTTTGGACTTTAACCCCAAGTTTGTGAAGTTTGCTTGATTGTTCATTGATTTCCCGTCGTGGCATCTCTTGATTCTTCGAAGCGTTTTCCCATCGTTTGCGAAGGTCGAAAGATTGAATCATCCACTGGTTATCAAGGAAATAATTCTCAAAGCAAGCTGGCATAAAATTAGGTTAGAGTCTGAGTTTTTTTTTAAAAAATTTCTAATTTTTGAAATTGAAAAGGAGACGAGAGACGGGGCAACAATAAGTTTGGAGTGGAGTTATTTTGAACTTTTTGACGGGTTCAAGGTTGTTTTGCATTTTCTTCTGTTCTTGCTCTTTTGAACAATTGATTGATTGATTTGATTGATTTGATTGTATGATTTGTATGATTGTGGTGGGGAGAGACGCACAAAAGGGACATTTTAACTTTTCTAGCATTATCATAATCATCTCTGCTATATCATCAGGATCCATTTCCATCCAAGGACGGCAACAACAATCCACAGCAAGAACGCGAGCGAGCAAGCAAGCAAGCAAGAAAGCAGAACATCCATCCACCATTGCTGCACAAAACTCACACCTCGGTCATTAAATGACTGGTTCGGGGTAATTGCTTGCTTGCTTGTTACTTGCTGGCTCTGTTTTACCTCCTTTGCAAATCAATTCCTTTCTGTTCCTCGCTATGTCTGCTCATTTATATATTTATTGTGTTGTATTTTGTTGTATTGTGTTGTGTTGAATTGTATTGTGCTCACCTACATCTCCATTATGTTTCTATTGTTATTTGCGCAATTCGATAGTTGATGCTTTGATTTACAGTTCTCTCTCTGTCTCGCTCTCTCTTGTCCGCACTCTCTTTCTTTCTCTTCTCTGCTCTCTCTCTCTCTTCTCTGCGCGCGCGCTCTCTCTCCTCTCCTCTCCTCTCCTCTCCTCCTCTTTCCTCTTCTTTCCTCTCCTCTCCTCTCCTCTCCTCTCCTTCTAACAATCCATATAGCAACAGAAGAAAAGAAAACGCGCCAAGAGATCCTAGAAATACATACATACATCCATCCACACATACACATACATACATACATACATACCTACTCACCCTACCTACATACCTACACAAACGCAATCCCAAAATCATCTTGCAATCTGATTCGGCCATTTTACCGTACCTCACTACTCTCACACTACTCGTACACTACTCAACGCACCGTGCCCACTCCCGCTCTTGACTAAGGCGCAAGTACGTACCAGGTTACTCTTAGATCCAAAAACCCCAAACTCAAAACTCAATCTAAAAGAGTACCTTAGCTGGGTACATATCACCATCCCACCTTCACGCACGCGAAAGAAAGAAAAAAGAGGGAAAATTGGAAGAGAAACGAGAAACGAAGAAAACGAAGAAAACGAAAGATATCCTTGACTACCTGAATCCCAGCTCCCGCCTCAGCTATTAAAGTTCACAATTGACAAAGCACCCCCCCTTCCACCCAAAAAAGATCCCAGGACCTAGATAACCACTTATTATTGATTCGATTGTTCTATTATTCAATTATTCAATTATTCCCAATTATCCTTTTATTTATCCATTTATATTATTATTCATTTATTATTTATTATTTATCCAATTTTCTCTCAACCAACCTAAAAGCCCCCTCAAGAATTATTATTCATAAAATCTTTCTCAGCAAGCAAGCAAGAAAGCAGGAAAGAATCGAAAGTAACCCTGAAAGTTGCATTGCAGAGCAGATCTTGAACTCTACTTGAAAGGGTTTAATCAATATCCAAGGTAACGTATGTTTTACATTTTCTCATGGATCTCACTTCTTCTGTCGCGCCTTGCTCCAGCGCAATACTGTATTCAAGGGACCACTTGCTTGGTACCCGGGTAGCTCTTAGATAGCTTATTACTCCTCTACCTTACCTTACCTTACCTTACCTTACTTTCCGAGGGAAATATGGCTGATCATCTCAAACCCTGTTCAAGCAGACCGGTTTACCATACCATCTAACCTTCACTACTCAGTTGCGCGGCATTCGTTACATCACACACATGATTACCTACACGTCAGTCCGTAATACATACTTGCGCAGATGATTCTCCACTGAACTCTTCTACGCCTCTGTGTTCTCCCTCGAACCTGTAAGAAGCCGCCGCGCTCGACCGCAGTCCATGGCCTTAGCTGTTGTGGTCACTTAACTTTTTTGTATGAATCGCAATGATGGACAATGGTCAACCAGATCCAAAGCGACCAAGATTAGGACCCGGTCCTGCTTGGCCGATCGAGCAGCCCAATCAGCCCAACCCTTCCAGGGCCCTTCCTCCTTTACAACCTCCCTATAATAGCGGTCCATTCTCTCGTCCCGATTCTCATGCCCACCCCCTCGATAGACGACCTCCCCACCCCAACTTTCAAGAACATCAAGACCCTCATCGCCCTAACTCAGGACATGCGCATGTTTACCACAATATACATAATCAACACCCACCACCACCTCCCATACCTTCATACAATGGACACAATGGGCACAATGGCCCTCGAGAACCCATCGTGAAGCCGGACCCTTCAGAAGAACCTCCACAACACAGGCCACCACCGACAACCAATGGCGCAGATCATCATGTAAATCTACCTTACGCTGAAGAAAGAGGAAGGCCTTTTCCACCAAGATTCGATCAACCTCCACCTCCGCAGCATACTCCGCAACACACTCCGCAGATGTATAATAATAACCCCGCTCCTCCCATGTATCAACCTCAACCCCCACCTCCCTCTACAAGTCCGATGACGACACCGACATTCGATGGGGCTATGTCAATGTATGGCCCGCCACAAGGTCACCCCCATCCTCCACCTCGGGAACAGTATTCAGTCACACCTTATTCTCAACCTGCAAAGCCTCGAAAAGCGCAACGCGCGGCTCAGGCATGCGATAGCTGTCGCAATCTGAAGGCAAAATGCGACGAAGGGCGACCGGCTTGTGGTAGTTGTAAAGAGAAAAATTTCGAATGCCATTATCGAGATCCACCACCTAAACCGTAAGTTCAAAAAGATAATTGGAATGATACGCTGCTGACCATTGTAGAATTGATAAAGCTTCCACGGACATCATCGAGGCCTTGATACGATTGGAACACCGCAACGCAGAGTTATTCAATGTTTTGCAGACAGGTCTTGAATCATTGAACAAACGAGTGGACGAATTACAGGAGAGAGTTGGAGCCGGCCGGCCTCTATCAAGTATCGAGGGGCACATGAAAGAAGAAGGGAGAGACGATGTTCAGTTACCTGATGGTGAATTCGGAACATTTCATGGCTCGAATTCGAATATTCTTCATGATGCCACGCCCATAGATCCGCCAGTGGTAGGTCCAGTACAGCCACTCGAAGGATCCACTCCCGGTGCACTCGAGGAGGAGGAGGAAGGCGACCCTGTGCCGCCCGGGCAACCATTAATACCAGTGAATCACACGACGGGCGCAGCCAGGCTTCTGCTAGTCCCTTCTGTAAAGCAAATGATAAATGGTGGAGGGGGCTTACCCAAGAACGTGAAGGACGAAAAATATCCAATGCTGCAAGAAGAACGACGTGGACTTCTAAGATTATTCGGAAGAGGAGAAGGAATTGATTTAGCTCAAGGCTATGATCGAGATCCTATGACGGATCACGCCGATTCTGTAGTCGATACAAGTTCCGACGTCTCATCTCCGGCTGGTGAAGAATGGGGTCAATTGGGTGGTATGACGCCGCCATCTAGTGCGCCAGATTATCCTCCACCAGTTGTAGGCAGTATCATGTCGGATGGGATGCCTGATTTCCGAAAAAGTGTAGTTTTGGAATTGGTCAAGAGTTACAAGGAGCATATGAATATTATGCATCCAATTTTGATACCGAGGCGGCTGGATGCTCTGGTCGAGTCATTTCTCAAATCCATTCCATCAGATTCCGCGAAGCCAAAGCAAGTTCAGAACTTGGCTTCACAACATACCAGTCATGCTGGTTTCGTGAATATGAAGCCTCCCGAGAGTCCAGGGAGCAAGCGGAAAAGATCACCGGGAGTTGGAGAACCTCCAGAAATCTCAGTTGCCGGTGGTTATGGGACATTCGTCAAGCCAGGCCATCCAAGTCGGTCAATCAGTACAGCTTTAGTGCTGGTGGTTTTAGCGCTCGGCAAGATTTGTCAGGAACGACAGAAGATTCCCGAGCTTCCTTCCGACAAGGATGTTGAAAATCCTTGGGGTCATATCAATTCTCCAGTTGTACGAAATGGCCATCCATCCCCTATTCAAAGCTCTCCAACCCAATCTTCAGAATTACCATCGCCTCAGGAAAATATTGATCGATTCTATCCCCGCAGCCGAAGAACTTCGATAGAAGGTGATTCATATTTGGCAAGAAGTGGCTTCAGACCTAGGAATGTCGATGTTATTCCCGGTTTGGCATATTTCGCACTGGCTACAGATATCATTGGAAATCAACTTGGAGGAAACAGTCTACAGCATGTCCATGTGAATATTTTAGCTGGTCTGTATCACGGACAACTTGCAAGGGTTTTAGAAAGTCATTCGTACATTCATCAGGCTTGTAGAGCTTTACAGGTTATTTTGAGACCGTAAGTCTTGGCGAGGTTCTGAATGAAATGCGACTAACGTAGACATTAGGAAACTGGATCGCTTCAAAAAGTTAAAGCAAGATGGGCTCCCCGTGCTGGCAAAGGACAACCCGCTAATTTTCGCATTCTGGACGTGCTTACAACTTGAAAGGTTTGTCAATCTCGCCTAATTGGTGAATCGGAATTCTAACATCACATGATAGCGATATTGTAGCAGAATTACCTTGCCCGCATTCCGGCATCCTTACATTCGAAGAGAATATGCCAAGTCCAAATATCGTTGAAGCCGTGAAAGAAGGTTTCGATCAGATGGTTTTGTTGAGTTATCAAGGCCAACTTTACCTACGCAAGCATCTCAATCAATTGCACAATATGTTCTACAAACCTGATAATGGTATGTTTCGAATTTCTTAGATTAGTTGAAAACTACTAACCTTTTCCGAAAGACTCTCAATTTCCTTCTGTATACACCCGCCATGATCCCAACCATTTCGAGTCAATAGCCACCGCAGAAGAATTTCTTTATCGATGGAAAGAAGCTGGAGGAACAAGTACCTGGCAAGAGAATGACCCTCCAGCGAGTGACATTCTCACAGCGCGAATGAGAGCCAAGTACTACGGCGCTCAGGTCATCACCTACAGGAATTTCGTTTTGAAGATCTTGGAACATTCACATGCGGTTTCAACCTCAAACTCTGTAGAACGCGCCTCAGATGATTTCCGAAATGGTATTGAGGTCCCGAGCATCAATAAACACGCGACATCAGCAGAGGAAATCGACGAGAAAGCATTGGCTTATGCAAAAAATGGTATCCAAGCACTTGTTAATAGCACCAGGGCTTTTCATGGTCTAGGCGAGGGTAGACTTTTCGTCACGAATCCATGGGGGACTGCACATGCGTAAGTGTACATGCACTTATATTGGATGAGCTATATACTAACACAGCAAATCAGGCAATGGGGCAATGTGCTTACTCTCCAAGCAGCATGGAACGACCATATCCTCCGACCATTATTCGACGGGATTCTTGATAAGCAAGGGCTCAGTGATCTTCTTAAGAGAACTCTTAGTTTCCTTGGGATCGTAGCAACACGATCATCGGCTCTCTATACCGATATGAAAATCCTGGTCAATGCAGGAAAATATACTGGTCTACTTGAGAAAGACTATCAGGCACGTCAAGTTACCACTTTCGCAGCAGGTTTTACTAGTTTCTCTAATTCCTTCTCGTGTTAACTTTATACACCTATTCGAATCAGGTGGTAAATCTACTACTGAGAGTGGAATTGTCTTTGCGTTGACATCATTGATAATTTTCTACCTCGTGGAGTGTAGCTAATAATTTTTCTCTCATGGTATAGCTTCCGAAGAGTTTGCGTAAGAAACCGTTAAAGTTGAAGCAGGAGAAGTCGAACTTCTCGGATGCTTCGAGTTGATATTTGTATTATCAAATCTGAAGAATCTAGAAGGGGAAATGCGTATACAATTTTGTTCTTTTTCAAGAAGAGAATGACATACTCGCATACTCGCAATTTATATACGTCATATACATCTACCTCTATTACTTACCTCTCTAATACCGCATCCGATGTATTATGTCTATCATCGTTGGAATCATTTTTATTCATTGTTTGGTTTGGGAAGTCGGTCAAGTCATATTGGAATGGTATTGACCTTGACTTTGGCTGTTTATGGGCGGTTAAATCATGTCGTTGCATTTACAAATATATGGTTGCGTTGCGATTAGTGCGATGGGCAAGCGTCTTGATCGCATCTCATGTTGATATCCATCTTTGTCTATCTTATCATGGCGGCTCAAGCGGATCTTGAATGTCTGGAGATTGGGAAGGAAAGGACTTTTGCGTGAACATTGTGTGTGTGTGTGTGTGGATGGATACCGTGGGATAAGTTATATACCGTTAGCAACTAGCTAGTGAGTATCGTACATATTTACATACATACTTTTATATATATATACATACGTACCTGCATGCATTTTGAGATGGGTGGAGGCGGCATTTGGTTTTAAAAGGGAATTGTTTTTGTTTTGAAAGAGCATAGGGTTTGTGCCTTGTGCTTTATGTATTTTGTATTGATTGGGCGTATTGTGTTATTGTTGTTTGCATCATCATCATCAATATCAATATCAATATCATCTCGTAGAAGCGAGCTAGCAAATGCAAGGCAAGCAAGCAAGAGGAAACAAGCGAGCGAGCAAGTAGCATTGTTATTATTCTTGTAGTCGTTATATAATAACATTTTATTATTATTCATAGTAAATTACTCTCATGTCGTCAATATGATCCTTATTTTGCTTTTAGGATTCTTGTATTCTACGAGAGACTCTATGGTATACTAGAATCTACGGTAGGTTCTATAGTGGATTCTAGATCAAAATTATGAATGATATCTACCTAGTCTAGTCTGAGATGACTAGATTCGAGCCTTTTATTTTTTTATATAGAATCGTGTTTAGAATGGGAATAGATCCTGTGGCGGATTGTGTTGTTAAATGTAGGGAGTGTGAGGAGTGTGAGGAGTATAACGTTGGAGTATAAGAGGAAGAGGAAGATATGAGGAAGATATGAGTATTCGAATAGCTTTTGAGGGGCATGAGAGTAGTTTGTCGTGTCATCTACTTATTAAGAGCTTTGATTAGGTTGTCGTTTGGTTCCTTTTTGTTGTGTTGTGTGTATGTGTGTGTGTATGTGTACATGATGGGAGTTGAGGGGAGGTAGGTATTCTTGATGGAAGTTGTCATGTGTATGGACGGTAGGTTCGTAGATAGGTGGTATAAATGCCGATCAATTGTAGATTGTACATAGGTACATACATATAGATAAAACGCCGACATTCATGACTTATATATAGTTCATGGACTTTCCTCGGATGTGTGTATATGTTGTATATGTATATGTGTGTGTAGGTAGGTATCTAGGTAGGTTTGTATATGTATGTATGTATGTATGTATGTATGTATGTATATTTTCACCACCCACAAATACGAGTAGACTCTAGTTGGACACAGATACGAGAAGACCAATGATATGATACTAAAAGACAATTACCTAAACAACCATCAAACTATCGTATGTGACTCTTCTCTGTATCACGATTCACATATGCATTGGAATGTCACTTTCGTGACTTTTCGTGGGCTAGAAATACTTCTTGTAGGGCTAGATCTCTAGAGCGATACCCATTGTCCTAAGATGGAAAGTGCAATGGGATAATCGATCCGGCAATAACACGGAAAAGTCGATTCGGAAAAACGGCATATCCACTTTCTGCAATACTAGCCGTGACTAGGTATATTTAGTGGGTCAAGTACTCGAGTCAAAAGGTAGGGAAAAAATCAGTTGAATCAATTGAACCAATTGAACCAATCACAACACTTTTGTCCTTTGTGGATATGCAGGTTAAGCTTTTTGAATCACGTGATATTGACTGCTAAGCTCCTTTTGTAGAAGTGTGTGTGCAAAAAATTGGAATGTCGATAAGGTTGGGAAGTTTGCTGGGGAGGTGGAGTGGTAGGTTGAGCGGTAGGTGGGAAATGTTTGGGAATGAGGTCTAGGGAAGCCGATTATCGGCCAGAGAGAATGGTCTAGGAGAGGAAGGGGAATAGGTTGGGCTGGGTTGGGATGGATTGGGATGGGATGGGATAGGATAGGATATGTCACCTATGCCATGGTGCGATAGCAATTGCTTATCACTCACTCGCTCGTGGGATGAATGAGGGGAATGGGAAAGTGAAGGGCAAATGGCAAAGGGCAGAGGGGAAAAGTAGGTGTGGTGCGTTCTTGATCGAGTATGTACGGTAGGTTTGTCGGTCTTTGACTCATGCTCATGGGGAGGGGATTGAAATGTTTTTTCTTTCCTGTTTCTGCTTCTGTTTCTGTTGCTGTTTTTGTTTCTCCATCTTTTTTCCCTCTCTTTCTCTCTCTCTCTCTCCCCCCTCTCTCTCCCCCCTCTCTCTCCCCCCTCTCTCTATATATACATGTACCCCGAGTCTTTCGTTCTTTTTGGATCCATTGGGAATTGGAAGACTTTCAGTTCAATTGGATCACTCGCCATTCTTACGATCACCAGGATCGATTGGATCAATTGTTAGTTCTTTGCTTCAGTCATTCGATTGCCTTTTATGATCCGCAAGGGTTCTTCTCATACATCCTTCGCTTGCTTTTTGACGGATGACGCATATTTCAATATTATACCTAAACATCTCTCTTTAATATCCAATTCCAATCATGGCTTCAAGTCTGAACCACCATGATCCATCAACGAGCCAACATGGACAACTATCTCCTCGTCAAAAAGACGAATCGACCATTTCACATGAAGCATCCGATACCTATTCTATTCACAGTACAAGTAGCTCCATTCCTTCCCAACAGCCACCCTCGAATCTAGCCCCAATCGCTTCGCACATCTCCAATACTCAAGATGCGCCAATCCAACAAACGTATTCTAATATCTCCATCCCCGATGCTATCTACGACCGCGTTCCTCCCAATCGCAAACTCGTTATCGTGGCTCTGCTTTCCTTTTGCAGTTTCTTGGCTCCGATTAGCAGTACTACGGTATTGGCAGCGGTGCCAGAGGTGGCGACTACGTATAATAGTACTGGTACCATTATCAATTTGAGTAATGCGTTGTATATGTTGTTTATGGGATTGAGTCCATTGGTGTGGGGACCATTGAGTCAGGTTTATGGGAGGAGATGGGTACGCTTTTAGTTCATTTATTTGAACATGTCGTTGAGAATACTAAATAATCTTAGATTTCCCTCATAACCTCCTCCCTCTTTACAGCCTGCTCAATTGGCACGGCGCTCGCTCCCAATCTTCCTGCATTCTTTATCTTTCGTATTCTGACGGCCTTTCAAGGAACCTCGTTTCTCACTATCGGCGCAGCTTGTATCGGGGATATCTATCGTCCAACAGAACGTGGAACTGCAATGGGTTGGTTTCTTTCTGGTACACTTATCGGGCCCGCACTCGGGCCCTTTATTGGGGGTATAATTGTCACATTCAAATCTTGGCGTGTAATTTTCTGGCTGCAAACTGCATTGGCCGCATGTGCTGTGATTGGAGCTTATTTCTTGCTACCCGAAACTATTCATCGAATGAAGAAGGATGAATTGGTTGGGATGAGTTGGAAGAGGAAAGCAGGAGTACTGTGGGGAATGTTGAATCCTTGGAGAGTCATCAAACTTTATAAGTATCCGAATTTGATTATGGTGGCCTTGGCGAGTAGTAGTTTGGTGTGGAATATGTATTCGCTTTTGACTCCTGTAAGTTCTCCTATTCCTCATACTTGTATAATAAGATATGATATTACCTCACCTCTCTTTCTTCTGGGTAATCATAGCAGAGTAAAGAACAAAACTAAGATTCGAACTGTACAGATTCGCTATGTTCTTAATCCCCGCTTCCATCTCACCACCCCCATTCAATCTGGTCTTTTCTATCTCGCCCCAGGTATGGGATACATTCTCGGAACCTTCTTCGGCGGTCGCTATTCTGATCACATAACCAACAAATACATCCGTATCCGCGGGACTCGCGTCCCGGAAGATCGACTCCGCTCCGCTCTCCCCTTTATGGGCATCGTCATCCCCGCTTGCATGCTCCTCTATGGTTGGTCTGTGGAAAAAGATTTTGGCGGTATTCCGCTTCCCGTTATCATGATGTTTTTGCAAGGGGTGGCGCAACTTTTCTGTTTTCCAAGTCTGAATACGTATTGTTTGGATGTGATGCAGAGGAATGGTGCGGAGGTTATTGCGGGGAATTATATGATTAGATATTTGTTTGCGGCGACGGGGAGTGCGACGGTGCTACCGGCAGTGGAGAAAATTGGGGTAGGTTGGTTTTCGACGATTAGTGCGGGGTTTTTGGTGGTTAGTAGTGCGGCGACTTGGGCGGCTGTTAGGTGGGGAAAGGGGTGGAGGGATGCGATTGGCGGAAAGGGGTCTGTGGGTGGAGAGGTAGAAATGCAATTGGGTGATGATGGAGGTGATGATAAAGGAAAGAGAATGGAAAAGGGAAAGGTAGCGATAGGAAGGGAAGATGATCTGGTTTGATGGATTGGATTATTGAATGATGGGGGATGTATTAGAGGAGATGTGGTTTCAAGGGTATTTCTTGCATATAATGAACCGGATACGAAGTAATGATCAAGATGGGGTATAGAACTGGGAATTAACAATTGGGATAGAATTAGGATTATGATTGGAACAGTACTAGTCAGCCTAGGGATTTAAGTGTTTAGAAAGACGAGCTTTTTCTTAGCCCTTCGTAGCTAAAAATAATAATAGTCTCACTAATACTCTTTATAATAATTTTTAATACTACTCAGGACCTGCCAGGTACGTATACCGATACTCATACTGCGTAGCTTTCGAAATATTAAATTTAAAAAAAGATTTCTGTTATTTGAATAAGAATTTGAAAGCTCTTTAGAGATCTGAGGGCTTTTTGAGAGAGTGATTTATATATTAACTTAAGTAGAGTAGAGTGGAGTAGAATCAATCTCATCTAAACTTTTTATAAATATAATAAGAAAAAATTGATAATATTATTATCATCTATATACATATCGCTAGACTCTTGTTTCCGGCTTATGTACGATAGAAGAAGTATTGAAGGTGTTGGTAAGTCTGAAAATCTAATGATTTGAATGATTTAAAGTAGTATAGAATCTCTTAAAATACAAGTAATAGAAACAAATATAAGTACCTAGGTATTAAACGGGAATAATATTTCATTCGATAATAAATCGAGATGAGAATGTAGTAATTTTATTTGTATACTCTGTTTATCGTTGTACAATCTATTTACTTACTTCTACGGTACATGTAGTTCGATCTATCATGACGGGTCTATCTATACAAAGCACTCGTCTAAACTGCTAGGTACATACCCATCTATCTATATACAAACTCCGTTCTAACACAACTCGCATTCCACAAACAGACGGGCCAATGAACGAACCAATCAACAACCCACTAAACACCCTCCTCCATTCCCTCTTCCCATACCTCATTCCCAACCCCCAACCCATTTCCCACCTCCAATCTATCCTGGCTCTTGACACCTCCCCGCGCAGGACTATCCCACCCCGTCGCCGCCTGAACGCCCACCATCAGAAACGCACACACCGCGGCGCCCAGCCACAAAACTCGAAAGCCCTCTCCATAAGCCCTCATCACCACTTCCCTCTCCACTCCCTCTAATTGACCCACGAGAGCCGGACTGCCGAGTAACTTCCTCACCAACTCTTCTCTTCCTTCCAGTCCCCCATTGCGTGAAAATCCTTCGCGTAATTGGGTTTGCAAGACTCGGATAAATGCGCCGCCGCCGATGGCAGAGCCGAAGGAGCCGGCGAAACCACGGAAGGTGGTGAGGAGGGAGGTGGAGATGAAGTGGGTGGAGGGGGGAGTGAGGTGGAGAAGGTGCGCGAGAGTGTAGTTTAGGGCGGAGCCGATGGTGAGGCCGTTGAGGAGGGCGAGGAGGAGGTAGAGGGGAGTGGGAGTGGTGGGGGTGGAGAGGAAGGAGAAGAAGAGGAGGGTGGTGGAGAAGAGGAGAAGAGTGAGGATGGAGGGTCTGCCGATGGGAGGTTAGAAATGTCTTTTTCTTTTCCTTCTTCTTTTTTATATGGAAGGATGAAGGGAACTTACAGCCAGAAACTCCCTGCTCGTTTGATATGGAATGCGCCGGCTGCGATGCCACCCAGGGCAAACCCCAGATTGGTAGGGATGAGAATAGAGCCAGCGGAAGCGGGTGACCAGCCGCGGATGGAAATTGCGTAGACGGGCGTGTAGAATAGAATGGTCCATCTTGCAGCCATGGTTCCCAGTTGAGAAATACAGGAGAGGAGAGCGCCGCGCGATTTCAAAACCGCAATGGGTATGATGGGGTCGGTGGCGATTTTGAGCTCGATGTAGAGGAAGAGGATGAGAGTGAGGAGAGAGCAGAGGATGGGTAGCGATTCGATTTGGGGCGAGGAGAGACCGTAGAGGAAGAGAATTATGGTTGTTACCTGGAAGGTTTGGTATGAGTTCTAGTCCCATGCTTCATAGGTACAGTGTTGTGGGTATTTGGTACTTACGAGAAAAAGCGATCCGAGATAATCAATCTTGGCAAGTTTCGAAGTAATCGATGCGCCATCAATGCTCTTCTGTCCAGAAGTAAAACTCTTTGGGATACTGAAATAAATTCCTATTCCCGAAAGGATAGCAAGAGGTGATTGGAACAAGAATAGAGCTCTCCAGCCTACAGCGGGCAATAAAGCTCCCCAGACCACTGCACCAAGCGATACACCCACGGTAAATCCGGAATTTGCAAGTCCGATGAAGATGCCCCTTCGCTTCTTGGTGGTGAGTTCTAAGATCAAGATGAAACTAATCGTCATGATACCCGCACCACCGATCCCACTTATGGCTCTTCCGATGAGGAAGGTCTTGAGATCTGGAGCTTGTGAGGTGACGATACCCCCGATTGAAAAGAGGAATGCGGCGGTTAAGATACAATTCCTCGGAGAGAAAATCTGGGCCAGACGAGCGGCCACGGGTGACATGGAAGACAGGGCGATCTGAAGGCTAGATGTAAGGGCGTGATTGTTTGATGGTGGGAAGGATGACTTACGAGGTAGGTGGATGTAAACCAACTTGCTTCAGCAAATGAATTGAGATCTTCTGCTATTTTGGACTGTGTGGTTGATATTCCGGACATGTTTGAGGCTGTGGGTATAATTGCGTTAGTATATGAAGTTCAGTCCAAGAGGGACAGAGAGAGAGATCATTCATCTCCAATCAAAAACTCCCGGAGCTATAGGAGAGCAATTCACCTTGAAGAAATACCAATCCAAATACACTGATACTGATCAATATAGCTCTCAACTTCCCAACTTGTTGATTTGCTTTATCCTCATCTTCTTCTTCGACATTGCTGATGGTATCGTCTCCCCCACTTTGCCCGTCTGTCAATCTATCTTCATCTCCATCAATCCGATCACTTCTCTCTCTATGCCCGAGCAATGAAGTTCGCTCATCACTTATTCCATTCCCGTGGCGTTTTCCCGCGATTCCATTTCCTCCCATCTCGTCGTTCCCTTATCTGTTTATGTTACCTTCAAGCGGAGATCCGGCGGATGGGTTTCTTGATGAGTCAGCTCGCCACCACCTTGATTTCGTATGGTAATCCTACTTTCAACGACAGCGATAAAGCGCAACCTCTTTGTCTTGGAGCTATTCTCGTTTTGATACTTGCGTCGATGAAAGGTTATACAATCCCATTGATATCAGAAAGATTGCGAATATTCACGGAAAATGAGGAATGGAAAGTATATCAAGATGATTGGTAAGATTGTATACCATACCCGGCAGCCGAGACCCGCAATCAGTTAGGGGCTCTCGAGAGGGACGGATATTTCTAAGCCGGAATCTTGCATTTTCCATGTCCGTTCCGCTATTAATGATAACGTCAATATCATCAATACATCATCATATATATGATTTATAGATGAATGGGAGTATCTAGAGACTAGTGGTACTCGAGATGGATCAATGAAGCTTCATCGCTGCTACTTTCTGAAGGTAAGATCTTATATAAGGTAGGTAGGGAACGCGTCCTTTCTTTCCTTATGATAAGGTCATTAACCAACCCCTTTTTTTCATGACATTGTTATTCCCTAGACTGCCAACTGAGTCCTCCGACAGCCTCAAGATATCCTCTAGATTGTCAACTAGTGGCGATGTCGCTTAATGAGCACTTATTGATCAATCAAAATGTTAGGATTTTGAGATTTTTTATCATTTTGATACATTTTTTTTTGGGAATAATTATTCAACATTTATTTATAAAGTTATTGATATTCTTGTTTAATGTATGGATTGTATCTGGCGCTGCTAGCTGGCAGTCTAAGGGATATCATGACTTCCTCGAAGATATTATCTAAGAGCATTCGGAACTTTGATTTACTTGCCACTTCCTCTTTCAAGTCTTGATAGCCAGTGCTGTAATGAATCCTTTCCGTTTCCCGCTTTACCATCAGAACATAGCGAGGAGCGTTAATCAATACAGAGCCGTGGGCGTGCAAAGTTGCTTTCTCGATATTTTTATCCGGAATCGTCTACTTCCAAAGCCATCGCTTCTATTCATCAAAGATATTACGCACTGCTATGATATAGCATCAGCTTGGTATCAATACTGCCTACCCGAAGAAGCCTTAAGTAAGGTCGAAGTCTGTGTATATACCCATGTCTCACAAAACACAATAAAGAAGCTACAGGAACCATTGTAGTGTTTGAGCTACTCTGGAGAAGAATGCACATAACATAACCCAAGATTCAAACCTTGATCAAATCATACCAAGGTTCCTCACACAATTTTCTTAATAGATAGTTATCATCGAATCCATCGTCAACAAAGAGAAGGATACGATTGACCTATCTTTTGACAAATAATGATACTCTGACTATCGAAGATTGTCAACCTAGCTCGAAACCCCACAAGTGTACCCACACATGTACAGAAGCATTGGGACGCATTGAAATCGAGTTTCTTTCTTCTATGGTATGTTCCGAGGTCTCCTTTATTCTTCCAATACAACGAAATGAAATGGCATCCGTCTTCGGTAGATGTTCATTCCAATCGAGATCTTTACCATCTCCTTTGTTCTACCTACCTCTTCAATGCAATAAGTTCTTTTCCATCCCTTTTCTTTCATTCAGTAGCAAAACCATTCGAGATCAACAAGGGATATACAAAAATCATCAGCAATTGGGTGGAGAATTGATCGTGTACACTAGTAGCAAAGTTTCTACCTTTGTAGGAAAGAAGACATTTTCATTGTTCAACTTGATTCTACATAGTGGGGTTACATGAAATAATACTTCTTTATCCTTGAGAACTTATTTGTCTGATTGCCTTTTCCCCATACTCTACACCCAAGTGTCATCATCCATCTATACTGTTGTAATCAGGCATATCACTATCAAGTCTTCGCATCGAAACCCGTGCACCGAATCACTTCAAGCCCCTCAATACATACAGGAAAATGCCAGGACAGTATACACCCTTTCGAGGAACTACAGAGGAAGAGGCGAGGGAGCATCATGCGAAACGTCCAAAATCTCCAGATCTCTTGCTATGCCAGAATTGCGGATTCACTGCTGATAATGCGATACACGGCGGTTACATCAGCACCATTAAATTGATTGCCCACGGTGGCAAAAGGGGAGTATGGTCAATTGGCGATAAATACATTTTGAAAGAAATGAATATTAATGATACGAGATGGGGCACAAACCACCTAGGCCCTGAATATCCAATCACTCGTTTCTTGGACGAAAACTCGACAATTCCTGTGGCAAAGAATATGAAGCATTGGTCGGATAGTGAAGGTCATTTCTTTCTCATGGATAAGGTTCCAGGTGAATCGTTGTTTAGGGCTAAGTCAAAACTTGATTACGAAGAGTTCATGGTCATTGCTGACGAAGTCGCGGAGTGTCTTGCACAACTACGTAAATTTACATCAGATAAAATAGAAGCTCCAGATGGTTCGTTGATAAGAGACAAAACTCTCGGTTCTGAATATTCCTTGGATTTTTGGACGTCTGATGTAGACGAATGGTGGGCTCGAGTGGAACCGTATATTCCGGATAAATCTCGTAAGGATCGTTTGATGGAAGAATTTTCCCGCCATATCAAGCCTGGAGGACCTTTTGTGCTCACGCATGGGGATTTAAACATACAGAATATTATGGTGAAAGATAAGCATTTGAGTGGGATCATCGACTGGGAACATGGGGGTTATCTTCCAGAATGGGTGGAATTTTATATGATGGAAAAGCTCGAATATCCGCAATGGGGAAGGTTTATAAAAGACGCGTTAGCAAGGAGAAACATATTGCCCTCTGAAACGGCGAAAAAATTCCAAAAAAAATTCTACCACTCTTTTGAGGACGTAGAGCCCGTTCTTAATCCATCGGTCAAATTTTACGACGACCGTTTTCATCGGGAATATCCAAGTTTCCCCCATTATATCGCAGAAGAATCCTTATATACACTTATATCCCTGGCGAAAGTCAAAAGAGAGGGCATAGAGAAAACGGAAGCGGCAAAGAAGGCGATCGAGGATAGGATAAAGACAGCAGAGGACAGAGCCAAGGTAGCAGAGGAAAAGCTTGCTGAAAATGAGACAATCTTGGCAGAATTCAACAAGCTAAGTGTGGAAGAGAGAGAAAATTTGAAGAGGGGAAAGTAGTCAGAGTTATAATCAACCATTCAACATTGATTATCTATCAAGAGTCCAAACGAAAACTCTCATCCCGCAACCAAAACTTTCACCCTTGCCCCCACAGATTCCTCATTCCATATCTCACCCTCCTTTCCCTCCTAGTCTCCTCCCATCTCCATACCTTCCACCGACACATGTGGCAACCAAGCAGCATCAGCCTGCAAGCGTGGCATAATGTCTCAAATCTTCGTTTCAGAGGCCTCCCACAACTTGACCTTCTTAACGGGTCCATACTTCCCCGGGCAGCTGGCATCCTCACGTGCCATTGAGACACGCACATAATCCTCGTTCATGACCACAGAAACAAGCGACCCGAATTTTTTTATTTGCACAAGCATGCATGGTTTGTCTTTTTCGTTTTCGGCATCTGACGTGGAAGGGATTTCAGACATTTCCACTTTCTTCTCGTGCTCTATCTTCGCGCCTTTGTCGCCTCCCTCGGTAATCACGATTCTTTCGATAATTCTGCTGGCTGCCTTATAGGCTTGGCATTGGCCGCAGTTCTCTTTCTTCGTCATATTGCAATACTGACAAAAGCAGCAATGCATTTTGGACAAGTGTTGTGAGGTAAATCGTGGGCTGTGGACCGGAATGAAAGTTAGCAGTGATAAAGTGGAGGAACTTTTGATATGGAGGGGGGAGGGTTAGGAGGACGGGGTTACGTACGAAAAAAAGAGCTCTGTGAAATTGCTGGTCGTGGGTGGAGAGGAGATTGATGGTATCGTGTTTGATTGTTGTACCGTCCGGAGTATTTGTTTTTCGATGAACTGTGTATTCGTAGGAACGTATCGGCAATCTTTACTTATCGTAATTTATTTGACTATCTGTTTTCAATTATGTAGATGCTCAATCTCTTACATAGTGTCTTGTGAATAGAACCTCTCCGAAGCATCAAGATCTATAACAGAGAGTTTCCACACAGGCTTTAAAACATAGGGAAAATATGTTTCGCGTGTAGATCAAAGAAAAAGCTGAAAAACAAGGGATGGAAGAAGCATTCCTCGTTTCTAACACTCACCTCTCAAGTAACTATTCATATCCAAGAACCAACTTCATGGAGATAGAAACAGGCGACTTTGTAGTTTAAGCGAATGTATTTATGTAGAGATATTTATGATACAGTAATTTTATGTTCTACATCGTTTAATTAGGTATGCGGCCCACATCCTGAGCTGGAAGCCATCTCGAAATAATGATGATATACAAGATCATATATCGTAGCAAGCATTACGTATACTTTTGTCTGTCTACATTTTGAAGGCTATTCGAGTACAACTACCTATGCAGAGAGCTTAATTGTCCCTGGCATTCTCTTCCCTTCCGAATACATGGTCTAGAATATACCGAATTATTTCGTTCTTCGAATTATCCCGAGAAATTTCGATGAACATACTATGACAACGTTGGAATAGACTAGTCAGTAGTTCAAGTCAACACCATAGGTTAAGTTACAAGCCAAATCATCTCACATCACATTACTTCAAACATAAGATTCACAATTGTAGAATTAGTCGGTTCTGCTTGGTATAAAACTCTATTGTTCTTATACTATTTCTGTTGGAGGCATTTTATGCGACTGGCAGAAGTCTTATGACATCTAGAGAAAAAAAAAGAAATAACTAGACCCTTTCTCATCGTCGAGAAATGAGACATCCTAACACTAGTCAACGACATACGTCGAAGAAAAAACTAACTAATCCCAATTTGAGAACCAATAGAGAAAGTCATAGACTTTATGCTATCCACCACAAGTAAGAAACAAATTCCTATTTTGAAGAACACTGAAGTCATTACCACCGCCCTCCCCACTATCACTCGTGAAACAATCCACCAATCCCCTACAAGAACAAATAAATGAGAACCGAAGTAGCCACCACAAAAGGAAAATTCTCTCAGAACATTATGAATTATCTATTCAATCTGAAATCCATACATCTCTGGTCCACCTTGACCAAAGGAAGCGAGCGAGCAAGACTTGAAGTCTGAGGTATGCAGATTGAGTAAACGGCGTTCATACACACATGCTCTAGCGTACACCAGTTGATATTGCATAGTACAATTGTGATTTGAACATAACCAGCTAAGAGAGAGACCATAGACAAATAAAGCAGGCCAACCAGCCTAGCTTATCTATTGAAAAAGGCAGGCTCAATGTTAGATTTGTGCTTAGCAAGTAACTCCGTTGCATTGACCCTTCCGGGAAATTGATCGTCCATAAGTTCGTAAGCAATGTCAGTCTCGACAGAGTCCTGAACAAGTAGATGGTGAACAGTCACAGTGCCACCCAGTTCTTGACCATGACGAATTGCACGACCCATTGCCTGAGTCATTGAAGAATTGTACTTTTGCTTTTCGGCATAGTAAGGAGTCAAGAAGATGATGTGCTTAGCGACAGTTAAATTGGATCCGGCAGCAGACTCATCGGCAATGTCGAGGAACAAGATACGAGCGGTAGGATCAGGATTCTCAGCAAATTCTTCAGGATCAAACGCCTCCTTACCAACGCGAGCCCAATCCACAGGCAAATCATCCGAGAGAGAATTGCATATCCGGACTTCGGGAGCAGCGGCTTCCTTAATGTCTTCGAGCTCGGAAAAATCAAGTGGTGGATAGTTAACGACCTTCTTGTTTTTAGCCACCCATGCCTTTATAGCCTTTCTTGTCTCTTTTGCCGAACGAGTGTGAGTCGGGACAGGGAATGAGGGTGGAGGAGCATCATAAACTACATTGTCATCATCAACGAGTTCATGGGCTTGAATAGGGTTATCCTGATCCGTGTAAATAATGGTGCCAGCATGATCAACCTCATATCCCAATCCAGTCGTCATCATGTAATCTTCAGCGCTTAAATGAGGATTTGCTGTTACAGAACGAGTTGAGCAAGGGGTTCGTGTTGCAATTGGTGCAGAAGGACCTGGCGCAGAAGGACCGGGCTCAGAATTAGTATTAAGCTCGGCTCTCCACTCGGTACGGAATGAATCAAGATCGGGATTTGTACCGCTCATCATATCTCCATGAACGACCGAAGCACCTTGAAAATCTGGAATAGGGGCGGAACCTGAAGCAACTGGAGTTCGATTAACCGAATCTAGTGAGACAACACGTCGAACTTTGGAAACAGGACCCACATGAGTGTCGTCGACAGAATTATTCCTTTTTCTCTTCTGGGGACCTTGAGAGGCTGGATTGTCCTGAATGTTCGTCTCAACAGAAGCTGACGTAGATTTGATTGGAGTATCGTCACTATCAACTGGTGCAACACCAAGAGATTTTGCTTCAACTTCGATAGCTTTACCATTTGTAGCTACAGCTTTCCTCTTTCTCTTTTGGGGGATTTGAGAAATCGGATTAACCCGAATGCTTAGCTCCATAGAAGCTGGTGCCGCATCACCAGGAATAGCATCAACATCAAGTGGTGATGCATCAACTTCAATAGCATTAGCATCAATGGGAACAGTATTAGCGTCATCAGGAATAGCGTCAATATCAACCGGTACACTAGCCGCTTCTGCAAGCTTTGCATCCTTCAAAGCTTTTGCTTTTGCAGCTCTAGTTTCTGCAGCTTTGATTTGTGCAGGTGTTTTGGGCTTGACATTTTTTTTATCATCTCTGTATCGCATGCCTCTATTATTCTTGAAGTTTTCAAGATAATCAGCGACATCCTTCTTCTTGCCCTTCAGGTTGATACAAGGAACACCATCAGCTTCCATCATTTTCTGGGCTATGGCTAAAAACTCTGGGAGAGGACTGAATACTATGAATTTATTCTCGCCGTCATCGTGCTTCCAATAGATCGAACGCAAAGCTGTCAGCTTGTCGACTCGAACACTTGGGTTGTTCCAGAATTGAGAAAGCTCATCGTCTTCAGTTCCTGGTTCTTTGCGCTCGAGAAATTTTCCAGCTGAAGAATACAAGGATAACGCCAAGTACTTTTGGTCATCTAGTGATTGCCCACCACAGTGCTCGATTGGGCAATTGCCTTCCGATAAGATGTTGTTGCATTTCGAGCACAAGATATGGCCACAGTTACCTTGAACAACAGCTTTGTTCAAAGGCGAGCTCTTTTTGCAAAAGTTACAAGTGAGATCCCCCATAGGTGTCATACTGCCAGCTCGGTCAATCTGCCCTACAGACCTATAATAGCGATAATCCGCTCTGGATTGCACAAGGTCCATAGCAGTTTTGTGCACTTCGATGAGTCCTGTTTTAAAATGGGCAATAAGGCCAAGCATCTTTCGACCGTTGTGTAAGACTTTGTCGATTAAAGAAGGCCAGACACGGCGACCATAAGCAGGATCAGGGATTTCATAGTAAAAGTCATCTCTGGTCTTACTAGCCTTTGCCGTTCGAACGCCTTTGATAACTTGGAAGATGTCAAGAAGAGCGTCAGGGTCGGGGTAACGGAATCCGCCCAAAACTTGCCTTTCCCAGTTCTCATATCTAAGAACTATTTCAGGATCCTTCTTGATCGTTTTCTCTGTCAACATATAGTCGAGGAACTCCATCTGTCGGCGTAGATAGTCTTTCGCAGTGTTGATTTCTTTGAGCGCAGATGCTTTCAAGTCTTTGATAGTCTTTAGTTTATATTTTATATCCTTTGTAGCGTGCTCCGGGAAGAATGATGCGGCTTTGGTCAATCTCAATCTCCCATCTGTATCCTTACCATACAGTTTTGAGTTTTCCATTTTGACTGAACTTCGAATTGTGTTAGCTTTAGCTCTTGGCATCATGTAACTCTTGTTAATAACATCGGCTTTTATAGTGAGGTAAGATGCCAATTGTGCTGTGGCAAATGGCAAAATGATGAAACGATGAAGACGATTGTATTGCCCATTTCCCTTTTTTGCGTCGTAGCGGATGAAAGTATCGCAGAATTCCTGTGCAACTTGAAGCCTTTGAGAATGCCAGGTCGCCGAAGCGTCAGGTCCATAGGACAAAAACCTTTCCGTACTAGTCAAATTCTTATC